AGTTCCTACTATCTCTTGATCTTTCAGTTGTGAACTTCTACGTTTTTAAGAGTTACTACACAGCATAAACAAATTGAACTTCACATAATCTAGCCCTCCCATGGACTTTAATATCCTCATATCCACAGTGCTAAAAGTAACAACATGAGGTGGCAGAGGTTCAGAGGCTCCCGTTCTCATGCTAGAGAAAGAGACTTGCTTGCAAAGAGAGAAAAAAAATTCAGGAAATCGCAAATCGCATTGTAACCAATGGGATTAGTCTTGAAGTATTCTCATTGGGTAAGGCAAAGGTTACAACTGTCTGAGGGGCGAGCAGACTGTCCCTCAGGTGTGAATGTACTTACCTCTGCAGTCAGCAGCCTGTTGGGACAGTTATTAACAATGGTAAAATGTTTGCGGAGGCCCATCTCCAGTTGAGGTAAAAGTAGTATTGTACAGTCTGCATACCTGTGGAAATAAGGTTCATGTGCACTGAAAAAAGTTTCAGCAATGTAACATCCTGACACTGAAGCAACGTTAAATGTTAATGACAGCATGATCATGTCGAAGGTTGCTATGTGCTCCAACTTCTGATGCTTAGTCTGAGCTAATGTTCATCAGATCTAAATCTTGGTTTCTGTAGTGTATTCATTGTAGTTTTTAATATTTAAAAAGTTTAAAATCAGGAATGAAAATCGTCTAAAACTTGGAAAATAAGTCAAAATCATCAAGGCACAAAAGTAGGCTATTCAACCCATCAATTCCATGTCAGCACTCTCTGCAACAATCCAGTCAAACCCCTTCCACCCTTACCCCCACCCCATCACCAATCAAAAATAAACTCCTTGTGCAGGAGTTCACCATTACAATGCATCAGCACAAAGTCCTTTAAACTAAAATATTTCACTGCTGAGGCGAGAAGCTTTTAGAGGTCTATCATCCTCTCCCCTAATCACTGACTATAAGTCCGGGTTTTTTGCTATTGTCTGTCAGTAGGCTTAAACTCAGCGTTTTTGCAAAGAAAAAGTACATAAATCTAGCCAAAGAACTTCTGCCTATTTATTTACCCTCATTCGAACTTCCTCTGCATTGTTTTTTATTTAAATAGTTTATTTGTAAAATTAATTGTAATTGATAATAATTAATTATAAATGAACTGAGGAAGGGTCACCGGACCCAAAACGTTAACTCTGATTTTTTATTCACAGACGCTGTCAGACCTGCTGAGCTTTTCCAGCAACTTCTGTTTTTGTTCCTGATTTACAGCATCTGCAGTTATTTCAGTTTTAATTAGACACTGCCCATGTTTCTCTTGCAGGGTTACAGAAAAGCATAAGAAATGGACCCAGAAGGAGGTCATAGGGCCCGCTGAACCTGCTCAATCATTCTAGAAGATCCCTGGTTAAACTTCGATGAATATCTCCATTTGCCCCCCTAATCTGCATATCCCTTGGTGCCTCTAGAACCCAGAAATCTATCGATTCCAGTCTTGAATACATTCACAGGGCCCTCTTGGACAGTGAATTCCCAAGATTGATAAATACTTGGATTTTGATTGTTTAACTCAAAACCAAAACACCACCATCAATGCCTCGTTTATAAAAGTAATAGGCAACTTCAGATACGACATCAAACTTGTGATTGGTGTGAATTACAAGAAGATTTCCAACGATTTCCAAAAAATACAAGATCCTATATTTGTGGTGTTTGTCAATCATGGGATGTCCTAGATGCTTTAAAGCCAATTAACTACTTGTGAAATTTAGTCTGACAAACAGCATAGTAATCAGACAATCTGTGATTTGCTTTGCCAAGTGTCAGGGATATACACCCCTGTTCTTCTTTGAGATAATGTCATGGGATCTTCTAAATCTACCTGAGGAAGTAGTCAAGAACCTAACTTAACCTCTCACTCCTGGCAGTGCAGCATTCTCTAATAAATGAGCCTTTTTTTTCAAAACTTCCTGGGACACATTCTTCAGTTTCAAGCAATGCCGTAATAAATCAACTATGTTTTTTTTAATCCTACCGCTGATCTTTATAAGCCTCAAGTGCATCTTTCCAATAAGGCAGCATGATTTCCACTACAAAATCAGATTTCTCAATAATACCCTTTGCAGCAGCAATAGCCTCCTCATTAATATCTGTTAAAAAAAACACAAAACATTAAATGTTAGGATTGGTAAATTCTATGTACTAGTTATTTTTCACAACTTGAATATTGATGAAAAGAGGGTTGCGTTGCTGAGGTCTTTTGTCTTGCACTCATCAGGATAGATGTAGGAATGCTACATTTCAAGTAGTCAAAATAAATTATACTACAGAAAAAAAAAGTGTGCCTACTCTCCTATTGCTTACTCCATATAAACAGCTGAATCAGAGTCTGACTTACAAATCAATTAGTATCCTTTTCTTCTGTAGTGTGCTAATTGGTTGGCAAGTCAGACTCTGAATGACTGAGGTGTTGCCATGGAAAAAGCAATAGGAGAATAGACATTCTTTCCTTTTGTAATATAAATTGTTGCTTGAAATGTAGTATTCTTCCAACTATCCTGATGAGTGCAAGATGAAAAGCTTTGGCAAAATGAGTCTATTTGTTTTCATAAGCCTTTTCTTCGTACTCATTCCATTCCTGAAGGTATTGACTGCACCACAGTGTTCTACAGGTACCCGACCATCTTTGACACTGTCACCAAATGGCCATCCTTCCAATGTGCAGTCACAATAATGAACAGAAACCCTAGTCAGTTTAATCCAGGGTAACTAACTCGTTTGAAGTTTTTTAAAGGGGACACTTCAAATGTGGGAGTGGGGGTGTGTGCATAAGTTGGGTGGGGTGTGGTGTGGAATGATGTCCAATGGCCATAGTGTCTCCCCTCACAATATCTGAAGCATGGAGACAGGAAATCAATTAACATACTTTTGCAGCTCAGATGCTCCTTTCCTTAACCAGCTGAGACAGTACAACTGCTACAACTAATTTCCAGTTCAATTTCTTATGGCTCACCAGGGAAGACAGCAAGTTCCTTCAGCTGTGTCAATTGGAAATAAGGTCGATGGAGAAGTGAGAGATTGTTGCGAGCCAGGAAATCCTTCAATATCTGCCCTAATCCAGCTGTTAGTAACAGCAGCATAGAGGTGTACCTAGACATAATTAAATAACAACAAAACAAAGATTAACTATTACGTTCTAAAAGATTGAATAATCTGCTTTAATAACACAGTGGACAAATAAAAACTGAAAATACTAGGAATAAGGTTTTATTTGAAAGCTGTGTATTTTTGCAGATCTCAGAAATTGTATCTCTTTCTTTACCCTGCATATCCTTGGTACACAAGAAGCAATTCAAAATCTGTCCTACTTTATATTCAAATCAGTGTTCGATTGAGTTGAAACTAAAATCACTAGTCATGCAAATAATAAGAATGCACTATGGTCCTCCAGTGCTGAAAACAAAATTACAGTCATTTAGTGATTTTTTTTCTTGACTATATGGGCTAACACCCTCAGCAACGGACCACTCTAAAATCCTCATTGTCATTTACATCTTCCATCATAAGCTGACCCCCAATCCATATCTGTAATTTCCCACAATTCTTTGTTAGTTCCTGACACTTGCCATTCTACCAACAATCGCCTCTGAGCATGTGTCCCTCCCTTCGTCCATCTTCCAAACCTTCACACTTACTCTTTGGAAGGTCATCCTTAACCACCATGTTTAAGAACCTCCTTAAAACCCATTTAGAATCAGATAGTCATAAAACTGTACAGCATGGAAACAGCCCCTTCGGTCTAACTTATCCATGCCAACCAGATATTCTAAATTAATCTAGTCCTGTTTGCCAGCATTTGTCTTATATCCCTCTAAACCCTTCCTGTTGATATACCCATCCAGATGCTTTTTAAACGTTGTAACTATACCAGCCTCCACCACTTCCTCTGGCAGCTCATTCCATACACACACACTATGCGTAAAAAAGTTGCCCCTTAGGTCCCTTTTAAACCTTTCCCCTCTCACCTTAAACCTATGCCCTCTAGTTTTAGACTCCCCCACCCCAGGGCAAAGACCTTCGCTATTCACCCTATCCATACCACTCATGATTTTATAAACTTCTATAAGATCACCTCTCCAGTGAAAATAACCCGAGCTTATTCAGCCTCTCCAAACAGTGCAAACTCTCCAAACCTGGCAGCATCCTTGTAAATCCTTTTTGAACCCTTTCAAGTTTCACAACATCCTTCCTATAGCAGGGAGACCAGAATTGCACATAGTATTCCAAAAGTGGCCTAACCGTTGTCCCGTACATGATATACCAGCGCCTATACTCAAAGCACTGTCCACTAAAGGCAAGCATGCCAAACACCTTCTTCACTGTCCTGTCTACCTGCGAGACCACTTTCAAGGAACTATGAACCTGCATTCCAAGGTCTTTGTTCAACAGCACTCCCCAGGACCTTACCATTAAGCATACAAGTCCTGCCCTGATTTGCCTTTCCAAAATGCAGCTCCTCACATTTATCTAAATTAAATTCCATCAGCCACTCCTCAGCCCTTTGGCCCATCTGATCAAGAGCTGAGGCAACCTCCTTTACTGTCTACTAAACCTCCAATTTTGGTGTCACCTGCAAACTTACTAACCATAAACATGTTCACATCCAAATCATTTACATAAATGACAAAAAGCAGTGGAACCAGCACCGATCGTTGTGGCACACCACTGGTCACAGGCCTCCAGTCTGAAAAGCAACCCTCCACCACCACCCCCTGTCTTCTACCTTCGAACCAATTCTGTATCCAAATGACTAGTCCTCCCTGTATTCTACGTGATCTAATGTTGCTAAGCAGTCTACCACAAACAACCTTGTTGAACGCCTTACTGATGTCCATTAGATCATGTCCATCACTCTGCCCTCATCAATCCTCTTTGTTACTTCTTCAGAAAAAACTCAACCAAGCTCGTGAGACATGATTTCCCACACACAAAACCATGCTGACTATCCCTAATCAGTTTCCAAATACATGTAAATCCCGTACTTCAGGATTCCCTCCAAAACATACCCACCACCAATGTCAGGCTCACTGGTCTATAGTTCCCTGGCTTTTCCTTACCATCTTTCTTAAATATTGGAACCACGTTATCCAACCTCTAGCCTTCCGGCACTTCATTTGTGGCTATTGATGATACAAATATGTCAAAAGGGGCCCAGCAATCACTTCGTAGATTTCCACAGAGTTCTAGAGTACACCTGATCAGGTAACTTTGCATCTTCTAAAGGGCCATTTATCTACCTTGCACTTAGGAAATTCCTTGCTTTCACCCATTTAAAAGCAAATTGTTAAAATTTATTCTGAATTACACTAATTCATAAATGCGAGGATGGCAGAACTGACATTTGGAACCAAATGCTTACATAGGAGGGATTTCTGAAGGAGCTGCGAATCCATGCCACAATATGTTGCGGAGATTTAAGCTTGTTGGTGATCCCAAAAACACTCTCAGCATGTTCATCTGTATTTGGATAATGACACGTATGGAATTCATTCATTAGAACATGCACTAATATGCATCTCACACAGAACACCAGTCATGGACATACCATTAAGGCAAATTTAATTAGAGGGGGCATGATAAAGCTGTAGCAATGTGTTGTTGAAAAGGTAAACAGAAAAATATTATTTTAAGCAGCAAGTTTAGTAACAAAAAAAAAATTCTTACCACACTCTGTCCAAATACAGCAGCCAGCTCTTGTGAAGCCAGTAGATCCCTCAGGAGAAAGGGACATTCATTGCCAATCATTAGGAATACCTATGTATAGGAGAATGATCTGCATTACAGGGTCCACAATTAGAATAAACACTTATCAGGAAGGCACGGGAGGTTAAATGTATCCACCTTCAGGTAAGGTTGACCCAAGTGCCAGGCGACCATGCTAATGTTTATTCTTCCTTAGACCTCTGCAATTCTAATCATATCATTTCACTACTTAGATTCTTCCACTCTCCAATTCTCACACCTCTTATGAGGCTTGGGAATGCAAAGAATGACAAGTGCTCATCTCACGTTTTAGCTTGACATTGCAGTGTGCTAGGGCTTAAAGAAACTGAAACACAAATGGAAACAATGCAAGGTGACCTTTTGAACCAAATGCTTATATAGGAAGGAACTTCTGATGTCAGCATAATTCAATTAAAATAGCTCCAACATTGTTTCCTGTGCTTTCAGCTGTTTGGTCCTAAACTCTGGAATTTTCACCCGAAACTTACTTTCTATCTCTCTTTGCTACTTTAAGATGTTTTAAAGGTTATGTCTGATCAAGATTTTGGTCAACAGTTTTAATATCTCCTTATCCGGCTTAGTGTCAAAATTTGTTTGATAAGGCCATAAAGTGCCATGGGATGTTCTAGTACACTGCAAGGCGCTGCACATATGCAAGTTGTTGTTGTAATGAAGCAATCGGACGCTGAATATTTTACAAACCAGAAGACACGACGTACACAGCTCATTTTCAAGGCAAGACATTTTCGTCCCATCATGAAAAGAACACTTCCTTATCATTGACTGCATAATTCATGACCTTTTTGTTGAAGAGGGGTAAAAACTGGGGAAAAGACAGAAGAAAACTTTTCATAACAACAATCATATATTTCCTGAAAATAAGCTATAGCTAGTTTACAGAAAGTGCCACTCTACTCCTTTCCTGAACACAAAACCCAGCACTAAGCTCATGGTCTACAGAGTAATAGTGAAACATCCCTTCCTTATGGCTCAAAACCCTGGAAAAGTACCACCTACTGCTTTTGCAAAATGTTGCAAATCCACTGGCCAGATAGATACACAACCATTTGCATTCTGGCTCAGGGTAACATCCCCAGTATTGAATTAATTAGCTCTATTAGTTCCATTGGGCAAGCCACATCGTCCACACACCTGATATGACACTCCTGAAGCAAGAACTTTACTTGGAGCTTCAACCTGGCAATCGAGCCCCAGGAGGGCAAAGAAAACATTTCAAGGACATCCTCATAGCTTCTTTGAAAAACAACAATAACCCCTTTAACACACCTGGGAAACCCTGGCCCAAGATCGCCCAAAATGGAGCGAAAGCATCCGTACATCTCAAGTCTCAACCCAACAAGCTGAAGTCAAACATCAGAGAAAGAACTGTGCAGCAACCCAGATATCCCACCCTCTCATTCCTCCAACCACACAAATGCCTCATTTGTGACGGAGACCGTAGGTCACGCAGTTGACTCTTCAGACACCTGAGAACTCATTTTTAGTGTGGAAGCAATTTATCTTCAATCATGAGGAACTGCCCAAGAAGACTAAAGCCATAGTTTTGGAGCAATTTGAACTTTCAATTATTACACCTTTTAAAAAATAACTTTTACTGTATCAATAACTCAAGTCAAAACAACTTTCTTTTTGTGAGCAATGGAGAGATGCACAGCAAAAGATAGATTCTGGGGCCTCCACCCTAAGCAGTTTGAACAGACAAACATGATTTGTCCCTTCCTATCTTTACAGTTAAACAATAACTCCAATTTTGTTAAGTTCCGAGACTTGAGTCATTCATTTCTCCTGGAACTGACTCAAAGGACTTTGCATCTCCTTTAGATCTTACTTTTGTTCTTTTTCTTTACCAACACCATCAGCTTCAGAATTTCCTCCAAGTTTGTTTTAAATCCACATGAACTAGGTTTTCAAACTGGGCACAAGCTCCCACTCACATTCCATGAATGAAGCACTTAGGGCTGGCCAACATCGATAATTGCTGTGTTCCATCCCAATCGGCTGCAGATTACCCAAGACCAAAAGTGTAACTTCCAAAAACCTGTTGTCTGTCTGCAATTTTCCTGAGTTTATAGGGAAGCCTGCAAACGAATATCAAAGTGGCCTCCCCTGTTCCCTTCTCCACAGAAATAGGAATGTATTCAAGTAGAAATGCTAATCAGCCACCTCTGATTACAATATCTTTCATATTAGAAACAGGACAGGCTTGAGCACAACTGCTTTCAATTTGATACCAACACCAGCTTTTGGTATTTTAATAAGCATATACACTTCACATGTATAACAGTTCTGAACACCATAACAACTGAAGGAAGGATTGGGGCCTCAGAGGGGCACGAACAAGAAATAACCTTGTGGATGCAATAGGCAATGGTATGGCTGAGGCTGGCCATAGTTATGGCAAGTACAGTGCATCGCGTTCTTATGGGAAAGGTGTCTGACATGACAACCAGAGATAAAATTAACTTGCTCCCAGTTCCCTCACAATCCAAGAGTTTGGATGTTTCACTACAAAAATAGAGACTCTATTTAGGCCTCACTCATGAGGAAAGGCCTCACCTTTCCTTTGCTTTTTACTCTAGTCATAATTTGAAAAGGCTTTGGCAAATGTTAAAATATTATTGTGGAGTAATAATACAGCCAGCTTAGAGGTGACCTTATGATAGTTCAGATCAAAGGAAAAATTAGATTTTAGAATAATATACATTATTAGAACAAGCTTAGGGACATGAATTCAAACATATATGAGAATGGTGAAGATATAACTTCTGCATGTGATAAAAAGGTGGAATAGGCAATGTGCAGCAGGAAATGTATTGTTTACGAGTATTGATGAATGAAAGAGAAATAGTGTTGAAGCTTTTCATTTTGCATTCATCAGGATAGAGTTGCTTAAAACTAAATCTCAAAAAGGGAACAATTTATACTACATAAAAAGGTGGTGCTAATTTGTTGCAAGTTGATTCTGATCAGTAGAGAAGTTGCCAAGGAGTATGAACAGTTTATATTTGGCATTGATGTTGCTGGATAAATTTCACAGTTGTCTTCTTAAAAGTTAAGGTAGTAACAGATATACTCAGATTAGAAGTTTGGCTTTTGGATGGAAGTGGTAGCTCCAACTTTGACGGAACTATTACCCAAGGAAAGTTGAAAGTACACTTGAGCTAACTCCACTCACCCCATATATCTAGTGATAATTCATAGATCATGGTGGTCTCTTAGCTATTACTTTGCCTTATTGTAGAACTAAGTCAGAGTCATACAGCATGGAAACATAGTCCAACTAGTCGACGCCAACCATGTTCCAAATTAACTAGACAACAAGGTGCAGGGCTGGATGAACACAGCAGGCCAAGCAGCATCATAGGAGCAGAGAGGCTGACGTTTCGGGCCTAGACCCTTCATCAGAAAAAGGGTCTGATGAAGGGT